AAAGATTTTGATGACTTGATAAATGAGGAGAAATTGCGTAACTACACTACAACAAACGAACAGCCTAAACCTGTAGTGGTGCTGATAAGTGATAGTGGTCCCAACGAAAACCCTAGATATAGAAAAACAATTCAAATGATGATCGAACATTTTGATAAATATAATCTTGATACCATAATTGTAGTATGCTTTGCACCACACCAGAGTGCATCTAATCTGGTTGAAAGGCAAATGGTGCCTTTAAGTCATGATTTAGCTGGCGTCATACTTCCACATGATACATTTGGATCACATTTAGATGCACAGCTAAAAACAAATGATGAAGAGTTAGAAAAGCGTAATTTTAAAGCAGCTGCAGATATTTTAACATCAATATGGGAAGATACAATTATAGATAACTACCCAGTTCTTGTTAAGTATATAGATCCTCCTAATGAACATTATAGCCCAAGTAAAAAGTCAGCAACTTGAATTGAGAAACATATAATAACTTGTCGTTATGTTACCCAAGTCATGAAGTGTGATGATCCAAGTTGCTGTAAGCCTTTTCGTAGTAGGATCAGGCAAATTCTCCTGAATCAGTTTTTCCCTCCACCACTTGTAGTTTAGCAAACATTCTATAATATTTGCATGGCAAAGATAAATGAATTTGACGATACAACCCACTTTAGCTCTTTTCTTTTATCTATATTAATGGAAAGAAAACTAACTCCTCTAGATATGAATCTATGATACCTTCCTTTTAATTGGTATTGCCCAACTGTCAATAAATCGATTAATGAATACATTTGTTCTTACTGTAATCGGTACTTTGCTTTAAAAAGAACTTTAAAAAACCATACTAGAAAATGTTTGCGTAAGGAATCTAATTTATCTGTAGAGGCTGCTTTGAATACTCAAGAATTCCCAGTGGTGTATGTTCACAACTATCATCATGGTGAATTCTTGGTTAGTAACGAAAGTAGTAAGACTATATGGGTGGAAGAAGAGGCAGTACCAGAAGATGTGTTAGAAACCTATAATCAGCAAGTACAAGTTCAAGAAGAATTGGTTGCAGATAAAGTGTTAAT